TCTAGTTAGTTATGTGCATTTGTTTCTAAGAGGCAAATAAATAAAAACAAAACAAAAAACAATCAAATGGTTTTAGTTATCATTCTGGATATGTATCCTTTCAGTAGTGTTGTCTGTGGGTGAGAAGAAGCACCAGAAACTCTGTGTGGTTGTAAGCAGGAGTGGCATCCACTTCCTAAACAACATGGCTCCAGAAACTGTGTGAACGTCAATAAATGTCGATATTTATAGAAAGTCTTCAGGCTTTTTGTACATAGAGTCACTATGAGTCGTGCTTGACATGAAGGCAATCAACAACAGCAATAATGTTAAAATGGGGTTTCATCTGTACATTGATGAGCTGAGTTATTTCAGTAACTGACAGAGATACCCAGGCTAGGACAACATGGTCTCTGATGGAGGTGAGAGGACAGACTCAGGATGTAGCCCTGGTCCTTAGGACTTTACTATCCTTTTGAGGTTTTGGGGGGGGGGGAGAAGAATTTCCCCCTAAAAATGTATCACTGAAGTAATACCACTAATCAGAGAACTGATGTGAGATTAAGAGAAGTCATATATCTAATTACATTTAAAATGGCAAGAGTTTTTCCAATGGTGTATGCTGTTGTTGCTATTGTTGAATAAGAAGAGATAGATAAAAACGGTAAGATTAGATGGTTTTAGAAATGTTGCAAGGGCCACTATAAGACTCTTAGAGTTTTATTTTTTACTTTTTTATGGAGAATAAACTAAACAATAAATTGTTCAAAGCAGGGAGTAGAGAATTTGGCTACAGTGGTTGCTTTGGGGTCTAAGAATTTGGACAGAGGAACATATCAGCCCTGTGTGTTTCAGTCTTCAGGGGGTAAGAAGACTGTGTGTGTGTGTGTGTGTGTGTGTGTGTGTGTGAGAGAGAAAGATTGATGATTTACTGGGAGGACAGTGTTTGGTGACAGGAGGGAGGAGGTGGAGGAATTAAAGATCCAAAGGGGACTTGATAGACAAAGATTGATCAGTGCTGAATGAAGAAATATGTGAAACACAATGCACACAATTTTTTTATACAAAAAAGGAAAAACAACAAAATCCTGTGAACTACAGATGTAGTAATTAAATTGTAGGGTTTTCAGTCTAGAAGGGGACCTCAGAAATCATCTAGTGGGTTTTGACCTTTATTTTAGCAACAGATTTTTCTTTAAGAAATGAAATCTTATGTGGAACCTCAGTTTGTACACTAGTAAAGAGAATAAGTGAGTCTCTCTGGGTCTTTAAATCTTGTTTGGGAAAAAGATTTTCTTCATTACCTTCAGAATTCCTGAAGCACTTCAAGTGCATAGTTTGAAAACCACTGACCAAGCCCAGCACTTTGATTGTAGTGATGAGCAAACTGAGGTCAAGAGAGGTTAACTAGGTGACTGGATCACACAGCAGTTGTGGAAGAGCCAGGACTTGATCTCAGGTCTCCTGATTCCCAGTCCCATACTCCTTCCTCTACGTTATATAGCCAGTAAGGTAGGTGCTATGTTAGCATTATGTTCAAAGCTGTGAAGTCTTTTCAGTATTTTCTGCCTGATATGTTGTTGTTATGTGACATGAAGCCAACTATCATAGCAACCTTATGAACTCTGAACCCAGCACTGTCCCGAGCAACCTCATCATCTCCAGCATGCCTCACCCCATTGCCACAGCCACTCACTGTGTCAATTCATTTACCTGATGTATTCTGGTAATAGACATTAGATATTTAAGTGTAGTATTCGGAAATGTATAGGATACAGAAATGCAGATTATATCATATAGGTATACTCTCAGACAGGAAATCAATATCTACAATGTTTTCTTTCACTTTTTAGAATTATTTTAAAGCAGTGCATTTAGGTAATGTCTGCACTACATTGGACATTTTAGTCTGATATCAGTGATCAATATGTTCGGAGTCAGTACGTTTTAGGACAGACATATCCTTTGATGAGAGAGCATTGAGACTGCTGGACCCTCTCCCATGGGGGGCGTACACAGCTGTCATGTCCAGTGTATTCCTGTCTCCTGTGCACTGCATCCTCCTTTAGCATCTAGTGGGCTTGTATTTTGAGTTTCTGAGTGGTGCAGATGGTTGTTGAATCACACTGGGCTACTAATTGAAAGATTGGGGCCATTCAAACATAACACAGTACTTCAGAAGTGCCTGGTGATCCTCTGACAAGGTCACAGCCATGGTGAACTCTATGGAGCACAGTTCTGATCTCCAATACGTGGGTCTTGACATGAGTCAAATAGAATCACAACCACCCACTGGTATGGTTTTTATGTTGAGAGTGTATATTCATTTTAAGTGATCAGATTTTCCTTTGTTTCATTATGTGCCTTTGACCTCTACTGCTTAATTCCTTTCCTCTTGACCCTTCATGCTGATATATGTAAATTGTCGTTGTGCGTCTGTGCACTCACCACAAATGGGTGGCTCGCTGTAGAACCCATTGGCTTTGGTGCTTCCTGCCATCCATTCAGTTTCTACTTAGACTGGTTTCTCTGTTAACAGAAATAGTTGCTGGAGGTTAGAAAGGCAGAGAAAGGTTGCTTAAGATCTCTGCTATTGTTTACTCTCCCTGAAACCAAAAAGCTTTGATGAAAAGGGCAACTGCTGTGACTTTTTGTGAGAAATTTCCTTGAAGAAAGCAGCATCACTGTTGTAAAGGTAGAGGACTGGTCTTGTGAGTAGAAACAGTTGCTGAACTTCTGTGATTCTAGTAAAGTTGGAGCTGATTTTGTTCCTGCTTTATTGGGTATAGTGGCTAGTGCATCTAGGCAATATGAGATAAATTTAGCCAGAAAGTGCTATATTTAGTACTACGTATCTTTGCACACCGAGGGACAGTGACTAGTTATTGTTGTTGTTGTTATGTGCCATCTGGACTCATAGCAACCCTGTGTACAACAGCCCTAAACTCTGCTCTGTCCTGTGCCAATCGCACTGTGTCTGACACTCCCATCCCCATTATCCCAGTCAATGAATCAATCCACCTTATCTGCCTTCCCCTCCTGCACTGTCCCTCCACCCTCCCAAGCATGATGTCCCTCTCCAAGGACCAATCCCTCCTTACAACATGTCCAAAGTATGTCAGAATCCTTGCCTCCAGGGAGCCGCCTGGTTTAACCCTTTCCAGGATGAATCTGTTTGTTTTCCTAACAGGATTTGTTTATAGAACACATTCCTTCTGAAAGCCAAGTTCACAGTTCTGTGCTCCATGTGGCATACTGTGGTCTTGCATCGGTACCTGATGGTACAGGCAGATTTTACAAGCTCATTCAGTTTTTTTAAAAAATGGCTTCACTTTGATTATCCTTCTATTCCTGGCGAGCTCTGTACTCTGACTGATTATCTTGGTGACACAGATAGATGATCATGTTGGGGTCCCAGACACCAACTTGCTTTATTGTATTAGCTTAGTTTGCACAACAGTTTCCAATGGAAGTTTCTGTACTGATGAAATTGTCCTAGATGTGGCCAATATTCTTAGGTTCAAAAGTGGCTGCCAAGCACCCAAACTCAGAATGCACCTGGGGGACAAGGAAGTAGACCTTTGTCTCACTCTCTTTGTGCGTCTTTTCAGAAGGAACCAGTCTTTGGAGAGAGAGATCATACTGGAAATAGTAGAGGGTCAGTAAAAAGGCGGACAACTCCTAGAGGTAGATTGACACGATGGCTACAGAAGTGAGCTTGAACGCGAGGAGTAGACAGAATAGGGCAAAGTTCAGGTCTGTTCATGGGTTTGCTGTGAATGATAGGCAACTCTACGACGCCTAACAAAGTTACTGAAAGAGTAGAGCTAGATTTTAAATTGTATTTTATTTTACTTTCGTTTATATTTAAATAGTTACTGTATTGGATAACCCAACTTTTTTTCTTTTTTTAAAAAATTTTATTTCAATAATTTTAAAAAATAATTTTAATGAACATTTACAGAGCTTTTGGATTTCATTCATTCATTGCTGCACTTCTCTCCCTGCCCAACCATCCACACCCTCCCCCGACCCGCAGTTCGCTCCTGCCTTTGAAAAATAAAAGAAACACTCCTTCCCTGGTACACAATACCCCCGCACCCCTCCCACCACCGGAAGGACATTCCACTATGCAACCTTGATTTGTGGACTCTTGTGATAACCATAATACCCTATCATACATCACTTTTAAATTATTCTCTCCCTCATCTGTTTCAGTGCAGTATACAAAATTTATCCAGTTTTTCTCAGTCTTACCCCAACCCTGATATCAGTCCCATTTTACAGCAGTGGCACCATGCAATATTTGTCCTTTTGTGGCTGAGATATTTCACTCAGCATAATGTCCTCCAGGCTCACCCATTTTGAATAATATTGCCATGAGTTCCTTGTTTTTCAATGCAGCATAGTATTCCATTGTGTGAATATACCACAGCTTCTCTATCTGTTAATTTGTTGGTGGACACCTGGGTTGTTTCCAACTCCTTGCTATTGTGAACAAAGCTGCAATAAACATGGGTGTGCATATATCTGCTTGGATGTCAGTTATGGTCTCTTTGTAACCCAATTTTTTATGCTCTTTGTTGTTAAGATCAGATGCCAATTTGAATAAGTAAAACAGGTGTATCTTGGATATTCATTTAGAGAGTAATGAATCTTAAGAAACTACAACTTGTCTCAGAGTAACTTCTTAGAAGTCTGCTTCTCTCTTTTGAGTGAAAATAAACCCTGTTGAAGGCCACTGGATCTCCTGATTCCTCTTTTGTGATCTAGCCACTAAAACCTTTACTGAAAAGTTGCTGAGCAGTGAAACCTTTTCTCTTTGGCCGCCTTGTCATCATTTGAGCCTCAGTGTGTGTTCCTGGGAACTTGTGTCAATGAGTTTTGGGGATGCTGAGGTTAGAAAGTTTCTGGCCAGTATAGCAGTTATTTTGTTGCTAATACAAGTTCAGATGTGAGTGTCTAAACACTACTGATTGCCTATTGTATTAACAAAACAATTCCTTCTTCTTTCCTCTCAGAACCAAAGAAAACGGCTTTGACAGAGAGCCTTTGCACTCAGAACATCCAAGCAAGCGACCATGCACTATTAGCCCAGGCCAGCGGTACAGTCCAAATAACGGCTTATCCTACCAGCCCAATGGCCTGCCTCACCCCACCCCACCTCCACCTCAGCATTACCGTTTGGATGATATGGCCATTGCCCACCACTACAGGGACTCCTATCGACACCCCAGCCACAGGGACCTCAGGGACAGAAACAGACCTATGGGTAAGACCAAAGAATCTCTGTACTTTTTATGGGATTGGATTCTAGAAAATGTGGGTCTCTTCTCAACTGCACTCAAGTATTAGGATCTGCTGTTGTGTACCATCGAGTGAGAACCAACTCATAGCTGACCCTCCAGTGGATTTTCAGAGGCAGTAAATCTCACAGGAGGAGATGGCCTGTCTTTCTCCTATGGAGCAGCTGGTGGGTGTGAGCTGTGTGCCTTTAGCTTGGCAGTGAATTCCTTAACCCTGAGCCACCAGAGCTCCCCTTGGGATCTGTGTGCTGGGCTAATTTTGTCACAGTGAGAATTTCTGCTTAGTGTTGATGAGTTCTTTAGCAGCTCTATTCTCTTACTCCCTTGTCTTTAAAAAGCCAGGTCACTTTTTTTAAGGGAGAGGAGGCACTTGAATGAATGTAAATAAAGTCCTCAATTTGTCATAAAGTATATTATTAGTTTACATTTTATTTTAGTATGAACAGTTTCATACATAGTGTGTTTGCCACAATTTTATTTTTTTTAATTCAATATCCTTTTCAGTATTGCATCTTTTCTTTTGAATTGTCTCAAACTCTATATTCCCCAGTCTCCATATTACTCCGTGGGGAGCTCTGGTGGCCTAGTGGTTGGGAGCTGTGCTGCTACCCCAAACAGGCACGTGGTTCAAATCCACCAGCAGCTCTCTAGGAGGAGGATGGACAAGTCTCCTCCCATGTGATTTACTACTTCTGAAAACTGAGAAGAAAATGGGCATGTTAGACTTGATAGCTGACAAAAGATGGTGGTCAAGGTGATGGTACTGTTGACAGAATAAGTGCACTGCTTCCAGAACACTTTCTCTTCTTAATTTTTTTACAGCATAAATTGTGCATTTATATTGTATCACACAAATGGCTAATTACAATTTATGTTTTTGTAATAGACAGTCTATTTAATGTTCTCAGGTGCCATTTTCTGAAGAGCTTTCAGAAGTGAAAAGCCTGAATTGATATTTTGACACCCCCACCCCCCCGCCCCCAATCAAAATGGTCTAATAAACACCTTGGAAGCAAAAGCTTTGCCATTTACTTAAGATTTAGTGACCTGAATCCATGACTGCTCATTTTAAAATACAAGTGGAGTCATCAGGTTATTCTAACACTGATAAAGACATCCCATTTTGGAGGTGCTAGGAAATGGCCTGTTTTTTAGGCACCCTGTGCTGTTTTATAAAATATTAGTTCCAGTGTACTATAAAATAATCAGCAAGGAAGTAATTATGCTTATGTGCAACGATTATGTATTCCTCTAGTAATGTAAAGTAGCCCTTTATGAATTATATCTGTACTCACTGGTTTTATGTGATTTTCTTTATACCATGTTCTTTACCTTTTAATTATATTAGCTTATAAAACTAATAGTGCTAATCTCTATAAATATGTGCAACTACTTAAATATTCTTAAAGGTTGGCATAGTTTAGTGTGTGTTAATGTAAAATAAAATCTTGATGTATGAGTAACAAATTATGGTTTTACATCAGGTTACCATTAGAGAATATAAAAATTGTCATAACTGGTATACTACTTAGTCTGGAAGGATTTATAAATGCCTGTTATACATACGGACATATACTCAGTAGTATTATTGAATAAAATATCTTTATAAGCAACATTAGTTCATAATTAAGCTTAGAGTGTCTTAGTTTGCTTAAAATCTTCTAAAACATAACAACCAATTAAGAATCCTCATTAATGTCAAATTTTCCACAAATGAAAATGGATTCTTTAATGATTATTTTTCTTTAGTATATCCCTCCAGTAGTATGAATATGAATAAAAATCATACGGTATTGGCTAAGCATTAGGAATAGAGAAATTAACAAATTTAATTTTTTTTTCCTTTTCAATATTTTATCCTATTTATTAGAGTTCCAAAAGCAGTATTCTACCAATACTGAAATCTCCTTAGCCACAAACGCCTTGTTGCTCATTCATGTCATTCCAGAAGCTGGAACTTAAATCATGACTCTTTAGTGTGTTGGATTTTTTTTTAAACTTTTGAGACCACTGGAGTTTTAGGCTCATTTAAAGGCAAATATTTATATGCCTGTATCTGAAATTCAGTGTCAGATTTACATTCTCGTTGTACTCCTAGTTGTTTTCATAATGACTCATTTTTAACAGTAGTGTGTTTTAATAAAACACAAGCAACAAATAAGTCAACAAAAAATTACATATTTGGAAACATTTCAGCCTGAAATAATCACAACAAACAGTAATAACTAAATATTACTTTCCCCCATCTTTTTCTAGTGTACAAATTAATGAAATGTATTTGTAATTTTATACTTTTACCAATAGGTGGCATTGGTAATTACAGCTTTTAAAATATGTCTCAGAATAAGTTCTAATGGTGTTTTGTGTTGAATATTTTACCCCCTCAGTTTGAGAAGGTATTATTGTATTTCTGTTCGTTGCTGTCAGTCGCAAATTAAATCAATTTCATGATTGGTGGAATAGAGTCATGTGATTTACTATTAGTTCTCTAAATCAGCTAGGAAAAAGGCTTTCACAAAGGTGACCTTGAAGTCCAAATGAGGTCAGAGTTAGTTTCTTAGAGTTACTATCAAGAGAAGTGTCAATCAAAAAGAATAGTTTAAATTGGCAAATCTAACCTTAGCTCCTGGAGAAAGAATGAAAGTCACTCAGGTGTCGAGGACTTTCATTCATAGTGTTGCCATGAGTCTCCTACAACTCAGTGGCACTTAACAACAACAACCTTAGCTCACCGCCTTTCTTTTAGAATGAAATGAAAGGTGTCTTATTCATAATGAGCCTGTAAGAGGCTCGTGTCTCTGTTCAGATCCATAATTCAGTGGGCCACATTTATCTTCTATTTTGATGAACAAGCCAGCTACCGGCTCATGTTCATTAATGGTAGTATCTTAAAGATGGTCTGTTAATTTAACTGATACAAATATTTATTCTTAGGTTCTCAGAAAGCCCATTGCTGTCAGTGTGGAACCAACTCATAGCTGACCACTGGGTTTTTGAAGCTGAAAATTGCTCAGAGGAAATGGCTCATCTTGCTCTTTTGGAGTTACTGGTAGATTTGAACTGCCAGAGAGGCATGGCTTTTGAGCTAGTGGTGCAACTCTTAAAGGACTATGCCACTAGACTTCCAGTCACCTGCTTGAAGTTTATCATAGTTGTATGAAATTAGATAGGGAACGGTGATTCTTTTTTTAATTTCCAAAAAGAATACCTAATTTATTTTCAGTATTAAAAACCAGAATATTCATGTGCCTTTTTTATATTATCCCCAACTATGTCGACTCATTTGTAAATTAACTCATTCCCACTTTGCTGAAATATGGAAAAATTTTACCATGCTGGCCTCTACTTAAAAAAATTACTTCCACTGTCTTGATTTCTAATCTTGAAAGCCTTATTTTGAAATTCTGTAAATCTAATTTTGGTTTCTGGTTTTAAGAATTAGGATAGTCCACATTGATTCATTTATTGGCATTTATGTTGTTTCCACTTTTTTTTTTTGGCTATCGTAAAAGTGCTGCAGTGAATTATGGCGTACAGATAGCAGTCTGAATCTCTCCTTCCAAGTCTTTTGAGAGTTTACCTGAGAGTGAACTTCTATTTTTAGTCTTTTATGGAATCACCACATTGACATTGTTTATTTTTCACAATGGCTGCATCATTTTGCATATCCATCAGCAGTAGATAAGACTCTAAGATTAATCTTTCCCCAGAAATCTTAAAGCCAAACAATAATGCACCTGATCTAGTATCTGCCTTGATATTTGTACTTTTTATGATCTGCTGATAGAGGATCAAATTGACAACAGCAACTTGGGGAAGAAGCAACTCAGCAAAGGAGAAAGAGTGAGAACAGTTGCCAGTTCAAAGGATGTAATCAGTGCCACTGAATTCTACATGTACAAGTTGTTAAATTGATGCATGTTCTGCTCTCTTATGTTTGTTTTCAACAATAAAAAAAATAAATTACTAAAAAGAAATGGGATGTATTTATATTTAGAGTTAGTATTGTACTAATAACTAGCCTTGGATTTAGGGCCATTTAACTTTGTATTTTTATGGGTAATATAAAAAGGATGTGACCTAAGGATCTTCAAAATTCTTCCTAATTCTAACATTTTATCATTCTATGAGAAACTCAAGATTTTGAATCTGAGTGTGAGTCATGCCTCCATTGAAAATCAACTGTATTCTCAAGTTTATGTCTTTTTCTGCATAATTTTGCTATGGGACTATGTACATATGAATAATGTACAGAATGCTGAGGATGAATCATTCTCCCTGTTGCAGGGTTGCATGGCACACGTCAAGAAGAAATGATTGATCATAGACTAACAGACAGAGAATGGGCAGAAGAATGGAAACATCTTGACCATGTAAGATCTTGGTAATCAATTACATTTATAAATTTTTTTTTTTTTTTAAAAAAAAAAACCCAAAACCAGAAAACACCAAGAATGATGTTAGGTAGTAAAATAAAAGGTTAGTGATGCTTTTGATACTTTGACAGCAATCCTTTTCCTGCTTTATTTGGGGAAAAAGAATGAGGTACATTTTAGAATTAGATCTTTACATTTATATTAAAGCTGTGTATGCAAGAAAAGTGTTTAGATTTTGGAAGATAAGCTACATGACATCAATGAACTGCTGTCTTTATGGGAGAGTGCCATTAAGTTTATGTAACAATGGCATGAATGTGTCTGTTCTTCACTTTCGACATGAGTTAGATTCTAGAGAAAATAAAGAACAACCACATCAGGTAATAAAATGGAAGGTGTCAGTCTCATTATACAACTGTCAAATTACATCAGTGCATTACTGCCAAGTTGCCATCACTTATGTGGCTGTTAAAATACATTAATACATAACTTCCAAACCCCTGAGAATCATGGCCCAGCTAAAGTTGACACATAACCTTCACCATCACAGAACTATTCTTGCTTCTTTGTTTAGCAGGTTTTACTGCCAGACATACATCATTAATGTGCAAAATAGTTGAATAATACATTTCTTTTAATAATGTCAGATAGTTGATAAATGAGAAGAGGTACTTTTGGGAAGGTAGGCTTAATGGTCCTAAGCCAGTATATGGTATCTGTTTCATGACTCACATTTATACCTTTCACTCTGCCTTTCCCTCTGCGTTGAATATTCCCAGCTATTAGGTCTGAATTCCAAATAGAACTTTAATACTTTTATTACAAGGAATATCACCCTTGTATTTGCTTTACTATCAAAGTCTTAAAGATGTGCTGGTATATATATCACACGTTCATCCTTTTCTGTTTCCTCCTGGTTTCCATATAGCTGTTAAACTGCATAATGGACATGGTAGAAAAAACCAGGCGGTCTCTCACTGTACTAAGGCGGTGTCAGGAAGCAGACCGCGAGGAATTGAATTACTGGATCCGGCGGTACAGTGATGCAGAGGACTTGAAAAAGGGCGGCGGCGGCAGCAGCAGCCACTCCAGGCAGCAGAGTCCCGTCAACCCAGATCCCGTTGCATTAGGTACTCTTTCTTCCAATGGACAAATTGAACAGATATTTTTTAGTGTTATTCATGTAGGGAGGTTTGGAGCAATGAACACTTTATACCTCCTCAAATGTGTATGCCCTGTCTGTTGGGAGAGTGGACAGATTGGCAGATAAAAAGAGGGTCACAAAGATTGAAATGTTTTCCAGGTTAAGCTTCTATCAGAGTTTCTACACTCGACCAGAATTTATGGTACATCGCTAACATTTATGCTTGTTCATAATAATAACCTTTTGGACTGTGTTTCAGACCTGCAAAAACAGACTCGTAGGTTGAGCTCAGAGCATCTGCAGCTTGAATAAGCTCTCTAGAGAATTCTCCCGCTGTGGACCACTGTGTGAGAGCACAGGTCTCCAGCTGCCTGTGTTCTGATTTTTAATTGAGTGCACTGTCTCAAAAAACTTTTTTGGGGTGGCTGTGTCTTATATTTTAAATTGAAATAGAACCCTCAATAATAGGAATTTTACTCAAAATTCCTCTGAGAGACCTGAATGAAGACCATAAGTTTCCCACTACTATTTGAAAATTAATGATAAAGATGTAGCTCTCTTGCTGTTATTTGACTGAAACTTAGATTGTGTGACTATGATTTTGTTAATTCTGTTTGTATAGTGTGGAGTTCTGGCAGCATATTCTGTAGGGAGCTGTGTTGCTGGCTCAGAGGCTATGTCTCTCTGGTGGTTTAAATCTACAAGCATCTCTGTGAGAGAGAGATGGGCAGTCTCTTTCCATGTGATTTTTAGTCTCCAAAAACCCACTGGAGGGTCAGCTATGTGTTGGTTCCTATTTGAGGTCATGGAGTTGTTACAAAGGTAAAAAAAGCAGAACTGTTAATGTATGCTTTAGAAATTGAACATGAAACCCTATGTAATATTGCTGTTGGAGAATTGTTGGTTAATAAATAGAATATAATCCTAATTATGCTAAAAGAAATCTTCAGCCTCATAGAATATTTGAATGGTCTGCAAAATTTTAACCTCAATTAGTAGTAAGATACTATCTATCACATGCTGGCTGTTATATAGATATACTGTTTGAGTCAACTTAATGGAGATAGATTTATACTGATCCTTTTTCTTTCATCTCCTTCTGTTGTGTGTTAAGCCCCATACCTATAAACTAAGGCATGTTAGAGTATTATCCTTATAAAATTAATTATACTCTGTTGATTAAACTCATGACTTTAACTATACTACACCATACTCATAATAAAAAATTAAAAGCTTAAAGCATGTTAATATTTTTAATACATTCTCTTTTTAAATTTAAATTCATTCTTAACCAAGGCAGTATTCTTTGCACTTCCCTGAATGCTGAGTAACTCATGTTATGTTAGACACCATTGCGTTGACCAGGACGCAGAGATCCTGTGAACCGCAGACCTGAATTCCGCTCTCTCCTACTCCATCTTCACCATCCCTGATAACACTGGAGTCTGTTGTTACAGCCACTGTGCCAGTGCATCTTATTGAGATTACACAGCAAGCACTATTTAAGGCCCTATTTTAAGACAATAATGTGTTTGTTAGGTCATGTTAAGGCAAGCAATGAAAACAGATTCAAATTTGATTTGTAACAGTATTGTTCTAAGCACAAACTATTTAGGGTGGAGTACCATAAACATCTTGTTTTTATTTTCTTCTTGTGAATGAAAATTGGTTAATCATGGCACATCTCCTCAGGACAATATAAAGGAGGTGCTGGTAACCTTCCAGTGAAAGGAAAAAATTGAGTACCTTGACATAAATACCCGGTTTGGCCTCCACTAATGAAAAACTTCATTGAATGGTGTTTATTTACTGAATGCTTATTGTGATCCAGACATTGGGCTCAGTGTTGTAATGAAAAACGTTCTTTATTCCCTCCTTTAAGGATCCTTTGGTCTAGTGGAAGAGAAAGGTATGGAAACAGATAGTTCTACAAATGCAGATGGCCACATCAGTAAATCCCCGACCTTATGGAACTGGGGCCATCTGCTGTCCCTTGTCAAAGAGCCAGTAAAAGAATAGTTTCAGAAATTGATAAGATTTCATCTTTAAATGAGTCTAAAGGATATATGACATGTAAATTCTGTAGCATATCCTGGTGGCAAGAAAGACTGCTTTTATTTCCCTGATACATAACCAAGAGAATAAACTTTTCTTCTTAAAATCCACAAAGTTCCTCTAATGAGCTCAATAGATCCTACTTTTGGCATAGCTGAGATGTGGTTTCAGCTTGAAGGTATGGTAGATGATTTTAGAAAATAGGTACAAATATTGCATTTTTTTGTATTCTGTTAAAGCATTCATGCTCTCTAGGGACACAGAACCCTAGATTTTCTCCTAGAAAACTTTAGATAGTATTTATCAAGAGCTCCACAATGTGGAGGTTTTTATATCTGTGCTGGCTCCCTGTGCCTCTTTGCTAGTTGGTATCTCTCATGCCTCTGAGTTCTGCTTTATGGAGCTGGTTTATAAATAAAATGGCAGCTTATTTGTAATTGTGGACCATGATAATTCTCATTAAGTGCTTTCTAAGTTTCTCTCCTAGACATTGAACTTGGATGTATTGATACATATAATGAAAGGATATAGTAAAAAAAAAACCAAAAAACAAATAAACCTTTGTATTTGCAAAGGTTGGGGCATACGTATATTTAGATAGAGTTACTAAACTAGATACCTCTGGAAACTACAAACTCTCTAAACTATATAAATGTACAGAAATTATGTTATAAAATAGAATTCAGGTCTTTTGTGCAAAGCTTATTCTGAGTCATATTCGACTTGATAAGACTTAACCACTGCTAAATGAGACTAATGCTGTTCTATCTGTAGGAACACTCTTCTACTTTGTACATCACTCTTTGTTAATGTGCTGTATGAAGTAATATGGATTTGCTGTGATGCTGAACCTTGTGCCATTGGGGTATCAAATACCGTAATGGTTTTCCAACGTAGATAGTGTTTAGTGGAGTTCCTAGTTGTAAAACACGTTTGGAAGCAGGAGTCGCATCCACTTTTAGGAAAACCACATGCCTCTGGAAACTCTGTGAACTTAGAGAAGCGACGATAGTTATGGAAAAGCATTAGGTCTTTTGTTCATAGAATCACTATGAGTGGTGCTCGACTCAACAGCGATCAACAACAGTGTATACAAATTTGCCTGTATCTTTAAGTGCATCGAGGTTTCCATATACTACAGTTGAGTATTCCTTTTAGTCTGTCTCAATTCTACTTTCTCAAATGAGACCTTCAGTACAATATAGGAGAGAATGTTGACTCACAATACCCTCCTACCTACATCCTGTGTTGGATTGGAGCATTAGGAATATTTAATCATAGTCATATTCAGTAAATTTGTATAATGCTTTTGAACACTACACAGAGAAGAATATAACTTCCATTAAAGATATAATCAAACTTAAACTTATTCTCACTCTTAAAATACATTTATAGTATTAAGTCAGCATGGGAAATTAGTATCATAACATGATTAAACTTTTACTGAAATGGAATTTTAGAATACATTCTCCCAAATAGTAATGGCTCTATTTTAAATGTCTTGACCAAGACATCATCTGAACCCATATTATCTCTATTCCTTATTCAAAATAAGAATTGATATTTTGAAGATATTTTTGAAATAGTAGAATTTTTTTTGTTAATCTTTATTTTCCAGAAAATACTCCAGATATATACTTCTTATCAGAGAGATTTGGTCACTAAAATGCATTATGCAGTTAATTTCTGGTTAGTATTCCATATGCTGTCTTAGAATTGTTATAGATTCTTTCTTGCAGGTCACTTTTCTTTTCAATTCTTTTTTTTCTCTCTCTCAGTATTATGTTCACTCTCCTGACTTTTTAACACTTCATTTCTTCTAAATTCCTTTAAAACAACAACACAACTGACTTTAAACTATTTTAGACTCTCTGTAGCTCACTTTGTGTTTGTATGGCCTGTGTTTCTCAACAAATCTTCTGCATGATTGGAGAGAGTTGTAAAAAATATTGAATGGTAGACTTAATACTGATGTTGGAGACTGAGGCTTGAGATTTTAAAATATGAATGCATGTCTTCCTTGGTTTTTGAATGTGTGAATATTTTGATAAGAGGTTAATATTTATTTGGTAAGGGTCTAGCTCTTTCCAAAATATTGAAATGTTAAAAAGCACTTGTTCATTTTAAAAAATGGAATGCAAAATTAAGTTGGCTATTCATATAAAAATAAACACATAAAAAGGCTAGTAGTTCAGAAATCTGCTGAATTAACATTAATCCTGCTCCAAAATGGGAGTTCTGATAGCATAGTCATTAGGGACGTTGCCAACCCAAAGGTTGAATTTTCAGGCAGTTGGATTCCCCTCAGCTGTTCAGTTTATAGCCTTCAAAAATTTGCTGATGAGGCAGCTACAAGTTGGTGCCAACTTGATGACAGTGTTTTTGGTAGTGTGTAAATCGCAGAGAAGTTTGCCCATTCTTTTTCCACGGAGCAGCGAGTGGATTCGGACTCATAATTATATAAATTGTTTTGAGGATACACTTGCTTTACATTTTCTTTGGTAGCACAGTTTCTTACCATTAATTAAGCCACCAGAGCTCCCTATGACAGTGAGTGAGTATTTTATTGCAGCGTATTTTATAAGAGGAATTTATATTTTAAAATTCTTCTACCTGGCAAGCTTAAGATTTTCATATGTTTGCATTACAGAATGTCCATACTCTTAGAGAATCTAACATTAACAGCCTAGAATCCGAGAAGACTGTTTGAATTGGAATTTTTGGTTCTGCACCTTATTAATAGTTTTATGACCTTTGGCAAGTCACAATTATGCCTCTGTTTCCTCAACTGCAATATTATAATCACACTGGTATCTATTTCATATGAATTAATTGTACATTAAATTAGTTACTAGATATAAAGAATATGAAACAGCACCTGACACATAGTATATATGAGTGATAGAATTTTTTGTTTTCCCATGATTGTTT